CAGAAAAAACATGGCTTGACTTGAAAAATGAAAACTCTTGGAGACTGGGAAGATTTGTTCCATAGGTGTCAAATTCAAAATCTTTTGAAAAGTTTCACTTGTGCTTTTTCCAGCTAAGACTCCTGGTGGAATGTGATGTAAAAAACCATAGAAAGAAACAAATTTGTTTGAATATTGATTTTTGTATTTTAATTAGACTTTAAATCAGCTTTGAAAACCATATTGAAAAATTATTAGACTGTCTTGTAAGTTGTATACATAATTAATATAGGGGATGAATAAACGTACCCCCCTTTTCTTCTCTCTATATGTACACCAGCGGTGGGCCACTACGCTTTTGGCCCAAAAAGCGTAGCGTAGCGGCGCTTTTTTTACATCAAAAAATTGAAGTGTTAGCGCATTTTTTCTACGCTACACTGCACTACAGCGCTTATAGCGGTAAAAGCTCTAAAAAGAGCTGTAGCGCAGCGTGGTGGACCCTTTTTTGCGGCCCACACGCGTAGCATTAGCGGTGTTGTGGCGGAATTCCGCTACGCTACGCTACGCTTAGCGCTAACAGGAATTCCGCTGTGTTACGCTACACTAACCGCTACGGTTAGTGTAGCGGCCCACCATTTTGTACACCCAGTTTTCAGACCTGCTTTTCTGCTTTTAAACCTGGTTTTCCAGACCTGCTTTTCTGCTTTGAAACTTGGGTTTCCCCACCCCTTTTGATTCACTTTTTGGGGATTGTAAATATGATGAAAATCATCTAAAATTCAACATTCTTTTTAGGCATGTTAAACATTCCAAAAAGAGTCACCAGGGGAGTTTGCTCAGCACCTGCTTTCAAGTGCCATCAGTGAACTCGGTCATAGATCTGGTTGGAAGCTAGTTACAACACATGTTGATATGTACCACAGATATGTACCACAACCTGGTTACAAGACATGTTGATGTGTACCGCAACTTAACTTGATATGACTGGGAATCACATTGGATATATCATGGAATACATGTGTAGAATGTACCCCAGACCTATGCTGAAACCAAGTTCAACTTGGCAGCATACAGTTCTTGATTCCAATCTTTGGCCAAGCTTGCGATATCTTGACTGATATGATTTCCCACCTGGTTGTGAGCCACTATCTCGGTAAGATACTCTGAAATATTTTTTTTCAAGAGCCCACTAGTTACGAGAAAGCTTGTGAGTTAAACCAGCCCTTGCCAATGCCTATATCATGTGATTGTCATGTACACACAACCTTCAGAGTTGGTGGCTACCAGACCTCCTAACCTTTTGGTAATTTCTATACACAAAAGAGTATGATAATTAAAAGCCAAATGCTGAACTCATTCCATTGGATTGATTTGTGGACCAAATGCAGCAGTTGGACGATTGGCCAAACTGATCCAACAGGTGCTGGAGTTTGTTTACCGAACTTTCCAGCTTACATGACTATATCATGCATTGCCCTGCAGCAAATGTGAGTGAGTTAAAATAAGCACCAAAGGCTGTGTTTTGTGAGTTGTTGTAAAGGGCTTTCGAAAAACTTTCCAACTTCAAGATAAGAGAAAGGTAAGAAATACAACCATCCTATCCTTATTCCAACCCCCACATCCTTCACAACCTCAAATCGATCTACTTATTTTTCTATCCAACATGTCAAACGTACTATGCCTTGGTCAATTTGTCACACGTATACATTCTCATACCTCAGATTCCCTCCCTGATCACCCACAACAGGCCTTCCTACAACGGGGAACAGATCGAGTGCATGTGTGGTGTTACCCAAGACGATTGGTTGGAGATCTCAGCCGAGTTCA